CACGCAAGTAATAAAAATCTTTAGTGTTATTCACCAAGTTTATAACAAGCAATGAAGAGTGATTACAACCTGTATCACATAAGGTAGTATTAGGGTCTTGTCTGTACAGCCCTCGGAGTAGTAAAAGGACAAGCTTCATCTATACTAGGGAACAAAAAAACGGAGCCGCTAGTGTTTTTTCTTGCTCATTTATTGATACATACTTTCTGATTTTTTTTTTTATGGGGGGAAAATCATCGAATGACTGCTCCCGCCTGGGTGAGGCGGAAGGGAGTGTCAGACTCTTACTGACTAAAAACCACCCCGTTCCTTCTCCTGCACGTCGAGCCGGAGCCCCGGTTACCCGTTAGGTTCTCCGCGACACATACTTTCTGATACAAGTATTTTTTTTATTTTAATTGGTAACGTATGTTCTTATCCTGGTCATGCGACGAGCTACCCGTGCGCCCAGAAGACACTACCAGGTTATTTAAAGTCGAAAGTAATTTGAACTTAGAAATTATAAGCTATCTATATATTTTTTACAGAGGCATAGAGTATGGAGGCCATTTTTTTAAAAACATGTTCTATTGTGAATTAACTTTTCCATGTGGATACCTACGTGAGAAGTCACAGTGTATATTGACATTAACGCCAGTGCTAATAATTTGACGACCATTTTGTATATTATCAAAGTTAATACGGATTTTGCAAAAAACAAATTCGTATATTTATATACTAACAATATTTACGATAGACATCAATTTAAACATAGATAACAAATACGCAAACACGCGCTCTATGCGCCTATTTATACTCTAAACATATTTAACCTCTATAAAACCAAGTTCAACCCCAAAACGTGTGCACGTCCGACCTATTTATTGGTACTACCAACTTACGACCGGTAAGGTAAACACGTTGAAATATATATGAACGTAATAGAATTTTTATTTCAACGTCGATAGTACAAAAGCGTTTCGAGAGAAGGTTGCGAGCTGTAGCAAGCTCTTTGATCTACCTATGAATAAAAGAAAACACCCTGTATAGTGTGTACAGAACGAAATACGTGTAAAAAAATTAATTCTAACGATTTTTTTTTTAGTTATATCTGTGATTGAAATCCTGAATGGTAAGTACAAGATTGTAGAGAGCTGGTGAAAGGTATCTTCATTTAATAAATCAAAATAGGTAGGTACCTAAGATGAAATAGCAGTGGTAGGTAGTTGTGACGATTTCTTTCTCCATACACTGGAATATTATTATAAATACCTAACGACAAAAATAGACTAACGGCCTCGTTGGCCGAGTGGTCGCAAGTGCGACTGCCGGCAAGGGGTCTCGTGTTCGATTCCCGGGTCGGGCAAAGTATTAGTACTGGGTTTTTAAAAAATTCTCAGTAGTAGCAGAGTCTGGAATAGTGCCCGATATATGGCAATTGGCCCACCCCCTATTACATGGGACTCATGACTTAAAAAGTGAAAAGTGGATGTTACATTGTACAGTGGCGTAATGTGCACCTCTGTCTACCCTTTCGAGGATAAAAGGCGTGATGTTATGTTATGTAAAAATAGAATAACTTATAATATCTTTATGCTCACCTGTTTAAAAATATACAAGACAATATTTTGTTAGGTACATACATTTTAAAACAATTTCACTGAAGCTACCTACTTCAAATAGACATGTATATTTAATGAATAGAAATAACTTTGTAGAATTACTTATTTGTATTTTAATCTAGTGCCTGAACTTTTTAGGTCAGTCAGGTGGAAGAATAATATCAAGGTAAACCAGACATGTTAGAAAAGTTAATGTTTTTTCTAGTATTAGAATACCAACGTGTTATGTTGACCAAAGGCCGCTACTAAATGTTGTCGTTCGACATGGAGTTGCAAAGTGATTTTTCTATGTCATTGTAGTATAAGTAAACACATCACATAACTTCACGCCTTTTATCCCCGAAGGGGTAGGCGGAGGTGCACATTATGCCACTGTACAATGTAACACCCACTTTTCACTATTTATGTTATGAGTCCCATGTAATAGGGGGTGAGCCTTTTGCCATATACCGGGCACAATTCCAGACTCACAGTGATTTTTTTTTAAAACCCTGTGATACTTTGCCCGACCAGGGAATCATACGATAAGTAAAGTAGTACCTAATACCTACACATTGACATTTTTGATGTAATAATTTGTACTAATTTCCCAGGAAAATCCTATTATACTTACCTATACTTAGATACTGTTTCAATGATCATGATTTTAGTTCCAAGAACTCGATAGTAACTCGAAATTTTGATTTATGCTCTCTATGTATGTGGCAATAAAGTGTACAAAAATTACTAATAACGTGTTGAAAGTTGTTTGGAATATTACAAATACTATTTTTCCTCTTTATAAGACTTTTCTCATTACATTATACACGTGTAGGTACATACAGTGTGAAAATATTTTTATCCTTATACGATAATACATACGTCTTATTTTTCTACGTGAAATCGAGTACGGTACACCAATTTTTATAAGCTCCATGATATAGTAAATCTTGTAAACGGATGTATTTAGCTCCTTTGGTGCCTAACATCGTAGAACATTTTTCCTCTGAAGGTTTCTCGGAAAATGTCAAGGAAAAATATTAGATGGAGACTTAGAGACCTAGAGACCTAATTTTCTATTACCTAAGCTTCATGAAATCAACCCTAATGCGTACTGCGTCATAAAACGTCTTCGTCGGCAATGTGATCATCATGATGAATTTATTTTTGTACAAGAATATACATATTTAATGCGAAAAAGGACACGAAAAATGGTACGGGATTCTAGGTATGAAATAGGTATAACTAATTTAAAAAATCCTTTAGCCTAAACGTAAACATTTCGTAAAAAATACAAGCGAAACATTTCGCGAAAACAGTTGTATTTTGTTTTCAACGAATTCCATCAAGCAAACTTGGAACATCTAGTGATACACATTAAATATTTATTCAAGAGCTCAGCGGAACATGAGGTATCTTCAACCAGAAATCCGTACAAATACTTTGTTAGGTAACATTAAGAGTTGAGCAATTCCTTTTAGTATCGTTCTGAGTATTACTATGGAAGAACGTGTGAAAAATACATTTACTAGTTTCCTTTTACCTCACGATGTATTAAATCTCAGAATGTTATCTTATTTCTTATGTTGACTCTGTTACGCGCTGTGCGATTACTCCGTAGCGCGGTGAGGAAGGGATTATTTTGCTTCAACTATTCTATAAATATGTAGGTAAATAAGGTGCTATTTATATGTGAGTGTATAAAAAGGATAATAAATGAGTTACAATATTGATCCTGTTTATTGAAAGAGTTGATGTATAATTAGTTGTATAGTTTTAAGAATACGTACAGAAATGACGATTTCGAAAGACTGTCAGCCTCCGCGCTAGAACAATGCCTTAATAAAATAAAACACGATACTACAGCAATAAATTTCACTTTCATCTTCAAACATACAAATCTTTATCACGTTGCAAAAGGGACGTTCGTCTGAAACTGCTTATAAAGCGGTCGTTACCCTTTTATTGCACTCTCAACGTAGAGTGTAAAATATTATGAATTCTGACGGCACCACAAATGCTTTTTTTATTTAACTCTGAATGTCAACGGGTGGCAAAAGCTGCGCTTGTCATTTTCAACTTTTGTGAAATGACACGAACTGCGTTGTGATTTAGGTTGTATGTCGGTTGTCGACCCAAATAACTCAGGTCATTGAGGAGAGTTCCGCAATGAATAAAAGGTATTTACTTACCCTGCAATTTTGAAATGAGTCGAGCGTACACATTGTTACTTTTATAATCCACCGATGAATTCCAACGAGCCACTTAATTCTGCTTTCTTAAGTCGATATATTCGAGCACTGAATCGATTAGATCAATAAGTAAATAGGTCTAGAACAGTACTGGAATTTACGAATTTCTAGAACTTTCCACGTACATGCGCAACGTATTATTCATTACACCAACTGCGGCCCTCAGAAGATAAATGCGATTGCCCAACGTAGTTTCGCGTTATTACCTAGTTATAAATCTGCTGAACATACCTTGTAAGCGCTTTCATCTTGTAACAAAGCGCACACGAGTCACGCTGAAAGCGCCACAAAGGCTGTCACGTCTGTTTTGGTGGTTACAATTGCGTTATCACGCTTTGTGACAACCAATAGCATTTATGCTTTCAATGACAACCTATACCATTTGTAGAATTGTACACTCTGTGTGGTTAGATAATCAAATTAACTGATGAATTATGATGAACATCTTAGTAATGTTCGTTGGTTTCAGAATCAATAGATACTACACCCTATTAAAACTGTGTTGATTAACTAATAATATCCAAATACATTTATTACATAGCCAGGGTTTATTTTTCATTTGTTTGTTTATTGTATAAAATACATGAAAATGTGTGACATTTTACACAACTGATAAAGGTTTGGGTCGGTTTTAACACCGAAAGGATTTTACTGTCACAAATGTATCCTGATAAATAATTATTTACTTTCCCTTATGGACAAAGATATATGTTGTTTTAAGCAAACGCTTGTTTGTTTAAACCATACATTTTTGCGTATTATGATATTTTGAGTCCCGTGGACTTTTTGTATACATACTTAAGTGTGGGAGAGCCATGCTTCGGCACGAATGGGCCGGGTCGACCAGAGTGATACCACGGCTTCATAGAAAAACGACGTGAAACAACGCTTGCGTTGTGTTTCGTCGTGTTAGTGAGGTTACCGTAGGCCCAATTACCCCCCTTCCTAGTCCCCGTCTCCCGAATCCCCGAATCCTCCACAATCCTCAAATTCCCAATTCCTAAGACGCCGGTAACCTCGTTTACCGACTTATACTATAAAAAAGGCATTCCAATACAAAAAATATCAATGTGGGCGAAAATTTTAAGCAGGTAATTAATAAGGGATAGTAAAAAGAAACAAACATTGTTCTTTTAAAAATCCATTTAATGATGACACTTAACTATTTATATCAATCTTCATTTTAATTTGATATTTACATTTAAGTAACAGCTATTTTATTTACATTTCGATCAGTGTATTTACAGTTAACGTATACGTACATTTTTTAAATCATCATTAGAAATTAATTAACATTTTTTTAGATACAGTCAAGAAAATTATGGGGTGGACTGTATTTTACTTTAATTATGTACATTTTAAACGATTTTTTATATTTTTAGAATAAACCAAATTAAACTTATTCGAGAAACGTATTCGATTAGCTTTGACGTAAGGTAGCGTGAGGTGATAAGCGTAGCGGGTATCGGGGCAGACGATCGGGGCGCGCGTTCGTCCGCCATGACACTTGACGCGACGACAATTCGACGTCGCGTTGAGCTGTCACTTCTAGTATCATCTGCAGTGGATACGCTGCTCACTTCTGGTGGAACGCAGTTCGGAGGCTTTTCCTGTCATGAATAACAAAAACTCTTTAGACTCACCTAAGAATAACAATTTGTTTTTAGGCGTAATTTATTCGTCGCCAATCCAGTCAGGCCAAAGTTTTGGTACTTTATTCAATAAATTTTGTGATACGGATTTAGTTTTTTATGGTTTCGAAACAATAACAATTATTTAAGGATAATAAATTCCTGGATAATATTAACATTAAGTTTCAGAAAACTTAGCTAAGTTAGCTGAAAAAATAAAGAAAAGTTTTATAACGTTATTGTTTTCTTACCGGTGGTTGTGTGAAGTTGACTTTTTCTTGACATCTCCGCGACTGGTGGGCTATACACGCTGCGTATGCGATCGCATGAGGTATGTAGCTTTGCTCCACCACACCAGCAAACAATGTCGTTGCCATTGGACCTATGTACAAGATGAAATAATTGCGTAATAACACTTCATTTTAATAAAACTTTTTAATGTTTTCATTTATAAGACTGGGACATACCTAAAGCATAAATAGGCACATCTTCAGCACCATGTGTGGCCCATTGTCTAGGAACTGCAGCAGCGTGAACAGCGTCCGCATTAGCAGCAGACGTTGTCGTATTCAACGGCAATGCCCTCGGCTCCGAATGCCCAGGACCCGTACCGTAGAGCAAAGTAGTATAACGCAAACCATCTATATCCGACACCACAGTATCCGCACCTAAACAAACAAAACACACTTGAAACTTTCAAAGTACTACAAAAAACTCTCCAATCTCTATACAAATACTTCTTAAGTCGAAAAACCTCCAAGTTAAAATAAGCTTTAATTAATTTCTAAAACTCTAAGCTGCTGTTCCAACGAAGCCAATATCCATCAAACTGGTTTAGAGGACATCATGGAAACGAAAAACGTTGGCACGAGACTTCAATTAACAAGTTTTGTAAACTGTGCCAAATGTCGATGGCTTCTATAAACTATTTGGCTTCGTAAATGAAGATCCTAATATGATTAGGATACAGAAATTCGTATAAGAATAGAATGTGTTTGGTTTTTGTTTAATTTTGTTACCTAAAACGGGGTGTCCTCTCGGCGTAGCTTGGCCGCCAAAAGTCATTACATGACCGTGATCGGCGGTGACGACGATCAAAGTTTCAGCAGGATTAACCCTCTCTAATGCTGCCAACAGTGCGGTTTCTAACTCCAAAGTTTCGTCGAGAGCTCTATATGGATTGTTGTAGTGATGAGCGTGGTCTATCCTTCCACCTACGCAGGAAAACACGAACGTTAAACAAAGTTACTGATAAAACAAACTAGATAATAAAATTTCGTTATTTTCGTATACATCTTTGTATATTAAGTTTATCAGTTACGAAAATAGATTTTTATTTCAATGAAAATTGATTGGTTTATTTTGATATCCTTTAAATACGTATAACCTTTGAATGAATTAAAATAAAAAAGCATCTGTAAAAACTTTTCTTACCCTCAATGAGAAGAAAAAATCCATTATCGTTTTTGGTCAAAATAGACAATGCAGCTCGAGTCATATCGGCCAGGGATGGATCATCAGCTTTGACAGTGGGACTGGCACTACCACCTTCCTCCGCGTCTGCTATCGCTCCTCGCTCTGCGTTGAACTCCATATGGGAGTATTCAAACAGACCTGTGTCGGCAAAAATTGAAAGATACTTAACAAAAGGTTTTTCTTATTTATTAAAATTGATAAGTCAATAAATGGTAATAGCACTCTGATTGACTCTTGACGTCTCCACTTAGTAACAACATTACCATATCAATGTTGGACATGTCCAAACATTGAACATGCTACCGACAAATCCTTTTTGTTTCAATAAACGACCATCGTGTACTCAAACGGGGACAGATTAATAAAATACTAAGAAGCGTGGTTAACAATACAATTTTTGAATTAAGGATGTTGGTAACAGCATAATCCATATTTGAAATGCAAATGCTACTTTATGTCGGGCGGGTGAGATTAAAAAGGATTCAAATGGGATTACACAACGGGGCCGCACTGATCATAATGTAAACTTGGTAAACGTAATCTGGACGAACGTAAATATTTCATAAACTCCGCTAAGGGACCGGAAACATTTTTGGTCCAACTTTTCTTAAGCCAAATGCCGTTCTACACTTCTGTTGTCTCTCCTATATTAATTTTCCAAGGGGAATTCATTACTTTTATCGTTTTCCTGATCTTCCGCATTCGCAGAAGTTAAGTACTACTCAAAAGTTGGTAATTTCTTTTATAAATTGGCACATAAAGTATTGAAGTTAATCTGATATTAGCCGTTGTACCTAATCTTTTAAGTACTAATACAAATTCAAAGCAACATTGTAATTCTAAAAGGAATGTTATGAAATAAGTATAGAAAATCAATCATAACAAAGTATCCAATTTCACAGGCACTCGTATATCAAAATTTTAATGAATCTATAGATTTATTCTCCTCACGTAAAATTTTAATTAAAATGTAAAGCGTCAATCGATCTTTCTAAAGACGGATTCGTGTACTACTTTATTGTTTTAATCCCGTAGCTGCGAGAGGTCCCCAATCATTAGTTTTAAAATAAAGCTTGTTACATAAAATAAGACTATTTGGCCTGTGTTTGTGTAATAGTTTAATTTGACGGGAATATCAATTTGAAGTTTAGCAACTGCTTAACTGAAGTTGAAGAAAATATCAACTAAACTAGTGAAGCGGAACTGTTTATTTGAACCTTTTAATTTATATTCCTTCATTGTGCATGGTTTAAAATGGAGGTCACCCAAAACAGGCTTTGTGGGCACTCAAATTGTTGAGTAAGCATTAACCCTTAAACAAACCCAACAGAGCACACAAAAGGGTCCGTTTTCTTAAATAATCCAACCGGTAGATCAGGGCTTTTACAAAATTTGTATAAAAACGCAGTTTCATAAAAGTAATGGCTCTCAAACTGACGCTTTAAGCCATAATTTAAAGACATAATAACGAGTTTTTTGGTAGTTTTCCCGGAAGTAAAAGTTTAATGTATGGGTGATATTTTCTATAGCTAATCATTTTGATGTTTATGATAACGTGGCAACCTTGACTAACTTTATTTAATAGACTTAGTCATTTTTTGTCGAATTATTATCATTTTGCGTGTTGACGATCTATCTAGATGTTTGCGTCTATTACGATATTCAATAACGATATTGCTTCGGCCATATTTTGGCCTTACACGATATTGCATTTCACCCTCGATGTATATGGAATCGAATATCATGATTTATATTTCCCTACCCGTCTTGTACACACCATGATGGACTTTTTCTGGCCTATCATCTACCCAAGCCATTATTCTAGCATATTTCCCCCAATATGTTATTTGACCTTGACATGAATTATGTAGATCAGTAGCCTTCGTTTGATCATATAAGACATCTTGTCATCTTTCTTATAGTTTAGTATTTCGTAAACAAATGATGAAGAATTGCGAGCAGATGTTTCGTCGACAAAGTTTAGCGTAATTTGCTACTGTTGAAGCTAACTCGATCTAGTAATATCTTCGAAAACAGTTGACAGGCTAAGCGACCATTCGAAATTTAGTGCTATCGATTTTCGCACTTATTGAAATGCATAGTGGAGCGGAACACGTTTGCATAGTACTTAAAATTGAATTTTCGGGTAAAATGGCTTTGAATATAGAAGCTCTACTAGATTTATCCATACAGAATAGTATTAGTGTCTCACCACAAATTATACCACAAATGCTGTTATAAAATAACGCTTTGAAAGCACTCGTTTTATTAATTAAATAAATAATATTTTGTAACCATGTGTTTAGGTGTTGCTACCAAGCTTTGTCTTTTAATAAGTTGTGAGAACCTCTCCATATGTTTGTGATGTTGTCAATTTGGTTGGTTTTAGTAACAAAAATATGACACATTGTCATGTTTATTACATCTTTATGAGCGTTTTGAAGGAAAAAGGTAAACCAAGTCAATAAGATACGATAAAAGTAGTGAAGATTTTTTTAATGAAACTTACCTAACAAATAGTCCACTGTTCTAGGATCTAATTTAGCAAGCTGTTCTCTTGAATGTATATATTGAGCTCGCAATCGCCGTCTCTTCTTTTCTCTGGCCCAATCTTCAGCTAAATTTCTTCCATCTAGTCTTCTACCTTCACGGTTTGGATGCTCAGGATCTGGTGTGATGGTAGGCAAAAAGTGTCTTCTTCCACCTCCCATAATTACCTTTCAGAAATAAAAGAAATAGATTTACCTATGTATTATTATAACTCTAGGGAGACATTAAATTTAATTATGTTTAACAGCTTATTGACAGGTCGACGAAGTAATCCTACCAGTTTCAAGTCATGATAAGGGGCTCATATTGCCATTTGGCCACTTGGTATGTCATGCAATACTGCTCATGAACATGAGCTCCTAGTATGGAACTAGTCGATTTACTTTGATAAACAGTAACGTTAGTAATTCGTAAACATAATACCTAACAAATAAGAAAAAATACAAGGTAGAAAATGTGTGTGAAAGTGTGAAATGAAATACAATGTGCGGGTTTTGCTGAGTTTTACATAAATAAAAACAAGAGGTTCAAAGTTTAAGCTTAAATTTATTTTTCGCTTCACCGTAAACTGCGAAGGTGTCTGCGTAGAGCGCAAAGCGGTCACATTTTGTAACTATCTCTTGCAAGTAGCATTGCTCTGCAATTTTTATTCGGATTTGCTACATTGTTGTGTTAGTAGTATTTTATTTACATTTTAGACCAGTTAACATGTTGCTTGAATGTGGTTACTCTGTAACGAAATAGCTCAAACTCAATTTTTTTTTCTTTCTTGCTTGTAGAAGGAAAATTATCTCATGACTTCTGCCGCCTTGAGGAAGGCGCGACGGAATACCAGACTCTTACTGACTAAAAACCAGCCCGTTGTTACTCCTGTTTTAAGTTTGTAATATGAATTTAAACTCTCTCAAATTAATAAATATCAACATCAAATGAGGTTGAAGCGGCAACAATCTCCGAAAATCTCAAAATGTCTTCCTGGTTATAATAATAATAACCCTTACACAGAATTCGTATATCATTAAACGCAATATTGCGCCAGATTTTCCTGCTGTCGGTATAACGGCACCGCGATCCCTACTTGAAGGATTTTTAATATTATACCCATCGTGTACAATGTTTATCAAGGTTCTTTTCTCATACCCTTGAAGCCTGTAATCTTTACCGTGTTTAATACTGCTGTAAAGGCTAAAATGCATCAACGGAACATTTAAGTCAGCATGAATTACTGAAGAAATAATTAAAACGCGCACCCAGCTACATCAAAACCACTGATAATCCTCTCTCCTCCAACCTAAGTGCTTGTGTCTAATTAACTTCACTTACTAATTTACAAAAGGGATTTTGTACAATTTGAGGATTCTTGCTATTTCATCTCCCGGGAGCTATTAATAAAAAACATTGTACTTTTGAACTTTTAAAAAATTCAAGTCAAAACTCTTCCTTTCTTCTAACGGAGAATTGTAAGTTTCTTCGCGTAACCTTTAATTTTATAAAACATTGAGCTCTTGTTGTTTTTTTTTAACTTTTTCGACGACATGAAGTTTATAAAATTACGGCGCATTTTGTATGCAAATTGTACACCGAGTTACAAAAGAACTGAAATGCGCTTACTTTGATAAAAATGCAAATTTTTGTGTTATTGTACAGACATATAACACGTACACAATTATACATTGCCACACCTGTATCTCGTAAACAGAGAAAATGAACGCCAACTCTTTATTGCAGCATTTATATAATTAAGTGGGTCCATATTAATAATTCATTCTTAAGGTTTTTTACTTACATTTATACTCCTTCCCGGTTCATTTTCTACAAGCTGCAAAGCTATATCTTTGCAGTCTTTTCTAACAGTGGGGGGTACTCTGCTATCGTCCTCCCAGTATCTGGACGGCGCATGCGCGTACAACGCCGCAGGAGTAGCGTGTGTTATCCGCGCTGTTGTCACAATGCCACTGGATTTTCCTGTGTGAGATAATTTATGGTATAAATTCATATAGATAACAGAATTTGAGCAGACAGAATAGTGTAATACAACTTCATTTTCATCGATTACGTTTGATGATTCTATGTAATATAGGATGAACTCATATCTATGCAGACCAATTTAGAGTCCGTATTGTTTTATTTATATGCGATATTTATTAATATAATTTGTGAGAGACAATATAGAAAATATAAAATTAAGAACCATAACTTAATATTCACGTACATTCAAGCTTCGCCAGTAAAACTTTGCATTTATAATAAATGCAAAAATGCAAAGTGAAAAAGGACTGAATATTTTAAGAACCTTGGGCAATGAAGTTTAGAAAGCCTATTCCGTTGATACTAAACTGTTTAAGAAACACAAACTTTCCTTTCAGCCAGTACTAGGTTTATGGTTATGATCAAAAGAGTTTGTGGAAGAATGTGGCATGTCGTGACGAAATGTAAATTGTTTGCCAGAAAATAAAGCGGGGTTTAGGCTTTACGCTTACTAACCTTCATTCTTTCGTACGTTTTTCAACGGTTTATTATAATTATATGCGGCGAAACATGTTATTCCTCTATTCTTGTGTAAAATTATAAGAAAATATTCCAAATTCTCGACTTGGTTTTCGACGTCGCCGTCACTGTGTCTGTCGTTTAGAGAATTTGGGAAATTACATTGAAACCATTTTATCTGATAAGGTCAAAAGGTTTCTAGTTTATTTTAAGTATGTAGCTCTTAGATTTATTTATTTTTAGGTTTAAGTCTACGGGTATTGTGTACTCTTTATTAATTAGTCTACTTTATTTGATGAAAGTAAATCACTGTCTTGACCAAAAACATGTATTTTGAAAATGAAACCAACCTTATTCAAGATTAGTTCGTTACATTAAAATTAAAAACTCTTTGATAAAAACAGAGATCGCAAACGTAGCATTACTTAGTTCAATGGCCAAAAACTACATAACCTATGGTCTATTTTTATCCCATTATGTTACAACTCGGTGATAATAAATGATCATAAATTCTGTCGATTCTTCCAGATAGATTGAGAACACAATAGTTCGAGGGATAGATGATCATATCAATAGGTGTAATAAATTAATCATAATCTTCACAGTGGTCATATATATTTTGTATATGTCGTATAATATTATACGGTCGAGCTAAGTACGTACACGCTTCACGTCGAGTGCTCGCTCATCGAGGCGAATGCACTGGACAATGGCACTCTCTACTATTACCACAGAGTATGTAGACATATTTTAGAACCGTCATAATTGACTACATTTTATATTGTATAATGTACAAGTGCACAGTCCAAGAATGAAATAAATCATCTTGACAATGTCAATGTGAATGATCGTTTCGACAGAAGATACAAATAATTTGAGTTTTATTTTGCACTATTGTGAGTAGGCACCGAATATTCAAATTTGACTTTCATTTTGTAGTGTATGTTGCTACTATAAGAAGAGTATTTTGGGTTACTCTCAGGTATCGCAAATATAAGTTTAGCTCAAAATAAATTTAAATAATTTATACGTAACGCTTTGTTATCACATTAATGTTCAAAACCGTAAAAGTAAAAGATACAACCGAATTTTTTGTCCTCTGTTATTGACTGTACCTATAAATGATAGTGAATTATCGCATCACTAAATTACAACGATAGTTAAGTAACGTCGATGCTATGGTTGGGCACATTCGCTTCGATGAACGAGCTCTCAACACAAAATGTGTGAATATAATTATCGCGGTTTAATATTAAAACCGTTAACAATATAAAACCACGTCTAAACGTATAAAGATGATTCTGTACAGTGAAATTGCACTGCATTTTACTAGTAAAGATACACCCACTCATATACATTATTTTGGAACTTTTTCAAATGAAAATTGTAGTAAGAATTTCAAAGTAAACGATACAATATCCCTTCCTACAGTCTGGTAATAAGTATAAGTAGGTCTGTACATAGTTGCGCTGGAATCTACTCTAATAACGGGGAAGTTAAAATCAGAATTTATTTAATACGAACCAATTTTGAAAAAAATTTTCAAATACATTAGTGCTCTAGGCATTTTATCCTGCTAATTAGAATTAATGGCTACATTTTGATAACTAATTGGCCTTTTTCGTAGCTCAGTAGTCTATTTAAGGCCATATATTAAGATAATTAGTGAATTACAATAATAATTTCTTCTTACTTTGTACTTTCAGTATTACTGGGTTTTTAAAAAAATCTCAGTAGTTGCATGGAGTCTGGAATTGTGCCCGATATATAGCAATAGGCTCACCCCCTATTACATGGGACTCTTTACATAAATAGTGAAAAGTGTGTGTTTCATTGTACAGTGGCATAACGTGCACCTCAGCCTACCCCTTCGGGGATTAAAGGCGTGATGTTACGTTATGAGTTATATTATATTGTTTTTAGAAGTATTAGAACTCGATAATAATGACATGTAGAAAGGATGGATGAAAGTAGAGTAACGAAAGAAGTATACAGAGCAGATATGAATGGAGCCGTCGGTAGAGGGCGCCCTAGACGGACATATAGTGACCAGATTGGCGATATATTAAAGAAGGGCCAAATTAAAAGTACCCTTAACCGACGAGCATGCATGAAAAGATTGATGACTGTTAATGAAGCGAAAGAGGTATGTAAGAATCGTAGTAATTGGCGTTCCTTAGTCTCTGCCTACCCCCATGGGAGACAGGCGTGAAATTATGTAGAACTCGATAATAAGTCTGTACTTACTATAATATTAAATTTGAAAAGATTTTTTCTTAATATCTATGAAATGGCCGTTTATTGCTTGGTTCGCATAAATTTTACACGTGTATTTTCTATCTAAAGGGTGGGACTAAACAGAAAGACAATTTAATCAAGATGAACAATTCTCCGAAAAGCGTTTACCAATTTTGATCCGATTGTGGATCTTAAATAACAGTTATGATTGACGAAAATTGCTAATGTCGTAGCCATTTATTCAGATCAAATAAATAATAATGAAACAATTTGTTTCAATCCCTTGTGATGTAACAAATAATGTTGAAAACGTTACGTACGTACTTGATAAAATAAATGATATCAATTCGTCTACTTTATGTTCTCTCGGGTATATATTATTATAACTGAATAGTTTTCTTCTACATCAAGATTCTATCTCACAGAATTCCTAATGGAGGGTTACTAAATTATTTATATCATAATTAAAATAAAATAAAAAATGTTTGTTAGTTTGTAGTCTGAAGAGAGTACTCTCAAGATCGCGAACTAATTAAAGAATTGACCTATTTACGTTACAGTACAAATAGTCTCGCAATATATGTACTTAAATGTAAGTAAATAGTGTCGTTGTGGCCCGGAGGTTTAAGACGCCCGCTTCTCACGCATGTGCAGGTTCGAAACCTACCAACGGCAAGTACCAATGTGGCTTTTTCCGAGTTATATGTACTTTCTAAGATTATTTAAACACCACTGACAAACGGTGAAGGAATAACATCGTGAGGAAACTTGGACTTATAATTTCTAATTATAAGTTTGAAATCGCCAACCCGCATTGAGCAAGCGTGGTGATTAATGCTCAAACCTTCTCCGTGTGAGAAGAGGCTTTGCTCAGCAGTGGGCATTTATAGGCTGTTGATGATGATGAAATAGTGACCTAATTTTTTAACATTTACCTCATTTCCTACAAAAATGTTTTCAAGAATGTCACATAATGATAGATATATTTCTCACACGTTCTAAACCGTAGATCCCCAGGGATAAAAACACAGCAAACACCATGATTCTCGTTTATATCATGTCACTAAATTGTAATAATACCATCAGAACAAAATGACGTGTGCTATGTCGAGATACGAGTCTGTTAAGGAAGGGTATAATAAAATATTGTTTTGTGACGTCACTCAAAACTGACAGCCGCAAGATTGGTGAGGAGGAAAAGGGAATCGAAATACAAGCAAGAGGATGTTTCAAACCACCAGTATCTACTTATTCTCTGATTTTGCACTTAGTATGGAAACGTTATGTGTATGGTTCTTCAAGGTATAGAGAACTTTGTACCGATAAAGGTGAATTAAGGATTTGCTCCTTAGTAAAACAGAGCACATAGATAAGACTACAAAAAATACTGAAACCAAAAATGTAATTTGTATTGCCAAAGATAATTTATTTAAATTAGACTTCTCAACGCCAAGAAACAATTTAAAAATGAAGCTATTTGCTCGTTCTAAGGTGTAGATTACTACGAAGAAGAACGAGCAAGGAATTCTATAGTTTGTTCTTTTCCAATCCGGTTCATAATACAATTCTTTACTTACATAGTTTTGTTGGTTCAAATGTGTGAGAACAACGAACGAGATAAAGAGGTCTTAAAAGAAAATAACCTTAAGGACAATAATATTTAATCCGATACCTAATGGAATAGGTAAGAGGCAAACCAGCATACAGACCACCTGGTGGGAAGGAGCAGTGGCGCCAAGGGAAACCCGAAACAGCAGAGAAATAACAAGTACGTTGCTTTATTTATTAATCTTCTATGTTTATATAAAAATGAATCCCTTTTTCGCTTGATCACGGGTGAATAGCTGGACCGATTTCACTATTTTTTTTTGTTGTATTTGTTACTATTACGAGAAAAAAATACCTGCATATCTAATGACAACGGGAGAAAACGGGATTGCGCATACGAAGTCGCGGGCAGAAGCAAGTTTAGTAATAAAAATTAACCATACGATAACCAAGTATTGAAAGAAATGAATTCTACTAGATCAGTTAATTAGTACTTCGTCCTTATGAAGATATTATTTAGTCGAGTTCAATATGGTATAGAAAGTACAGATTTATTAACTAGTATAATACTATCAACGACGTGACCCCAGCTTAAGAAACGGGCTAATACTTAAGCTCCATTGATATTGTTAGTTAAGGCACTCCATTGTACAATTATATTGCCTTTACTCTGTGAACTAACCGTTATTGTTATTGAGTATCTAGTAGTATTATTAATGTTATATTCTAACAATCTATGAAGCTTATGTTTACATAACATCATGCCTTTTATCCCGAAGTTAAAGTGCACATTAATGCCACTGTACAATATAACACCCACTTTTCACATTTATGTTATGAGTCCCATGTAATAGAGAGCCATATACCGGGCACAATTCCAGACTCCGTGCTACTCGTAGAATTTTTATAAAAACCCTGTATTGCTTTACCCGACTCTGGAATCGTACTACCATAGTCGCACTTACAACCAATCTGCCAGCGAGGCAGTCGACAAACAAAGCTTATGTTTAATTGTTACTATTTATAGATCGACTATCCCAAAATCACAAGGCTAAATTATAGCCTATAACACCTTGATAATGTAGTTGCACTTGGTTTCTGTTAGAGAAAAATGATCAAATCGATTTCATAGTTTCGGAGCTAAGAAAAAACAAACAAAAATGTTTTTCTGTATAATTTTAAGTGTGGATGCCTTAATAATAAAAAACCTTATCCTGTGATTTTAGTCGCATATCAAAATATGAAAGAAATAAAATTATAGTGCCTCGCGGTTACAATACGGAACGCGGAACGTAGAACTAAATATCGTGAATAGGTTTCTACTTAGAAATAACATGACTTTTCGTAGTAAAAACCATATCACTCTTCAATTATGCAACCATGCTAAATAATTATGTGGAAAATAAATACATAACACATTATTAGGTTGGCTACTAAAAATGCCCATGGCATTATGGCTACCCTTGTACTCTAGCTGCAAGAAGTTAAATAAATAAGATAACATAAATTATTATACAATACATACATACATAACTTCATGCCTGTCTCCCTCATGGGAGACATGAGGGTAGGCGGAGACTATGGAACGCCAATTGCTACGATTCCTACATACCTCTTTCGTTTCATCAACAGTCATCACTTCGTCAGTACTTTTAATTTAGCCCTTCTTTAATATATCGCCAATCTGGTCAGTATATGTCTTTCTAGGGCACCCTAAAACACATTTAACAAGAAATAATGCTACTTACCAGCTTCATGTGCCCAGTCAACCAAAGATGTGACTTTGGAGTTGATAGTAGAAGCACAATTGTTGAATCTTCCACCGGCATCTAAACCCAGGGTCTCGTACCGTGCCTTCACGCCACACAAAAGAGCGGTGGCACAGGCAGATGACTCCCCTGTTTGGGCATCTATGTTATATGTCTGTTAAACAAAAAAATACAATTAAATAAATACTTTAATTACCTTTAATACGGATTAATTAAACATGCGTTTCACAAACAGATGAAAACCGATTTTAAATATTGAAAGCTTTCCTTTCAAATATAATTAATCCAATAAATTAATTGAACATGAAATTTTAAAGTAAATAAAATTCATGATTGCTTTATTAATAAAAATTTAAGTAACATAGGTTACATTATATTAATAACACACGTATTAATCAAAATATATATCATAGTAGGCACTTGAAATCCGGAAAAAATATAAGCAGAAATAAGAAGAGGATATATAAGGCTTATAATATAATTATAGGCGAATAGTATATTACTAAAGACATTACACACAATATACAGTACATTACATAATAGCATAGCTTCAGATTGTGTAATCCAAATAAACCGATTTACATCAAAATTATGAAAAGACAATAATAATATTAAGTCCTTGAATCCCACAAGAACAATTAAAATAATAGTTTAGTTTCTCAATAATATGAAAACATCAACAGATGGGATCATACAGTCTTCTAGTACATCTTAAGTGCTTCCACCACTCAATGGGAAGCTTTGAAACGATGAGTGCCGAAATTGTTATTGTCAAAATACACAGCTGAGACGCTGATCGCAATACAATGTTATTTGTTCACAGGTAGCTGTTTGAGTATAATCCCTTAATCGCTTACGACACACATGAAAAACAATGGCGTACTGTCGTGCCGGAAGCCGTAACATAAATGTTTGTGTGGAAATATAAGAGAATACTCACAGATGATTACTTGCAAACCTTACAAAATAAGAAAGGAGTTTGTGTTGAAGAGTTGGAGGAAAGCTGTTACTATTTAAGCGCGTAGTCGGGTAGTGTCATGTTGAGTTTATGGGTGTACATGGAAAAGAGTACTACTCGATGTACTCAACAGAAGCACTTATAGTGCTTCTGTTGAGTACAAGAAAATTATGGAAGCATACGTTTCTAGTCTATGAGAGCGGTGCTTTCTCTATCATGCTTTCACGTCCAAAAGTATATTATTATGTGTGTTCGTAGATGATCTTGTACATATGGACATACGTATGATATACGCTTATTCCGCGTTGTTGCCACAATGGTACTCATATTACATAATTACCCGTGTTTTTAACAAATCCATGATGACGAAAAATAATGAAATGAGATGAAAATGTTACATTAATCAATAAACAAATGACTACTTTTGGAAAAAAATATTATAATTATGTATTATCTATCTATCTTACTGCGATATATTATCTACTCGTAAGATTTGAAACGGTTCGAACAATCACAAAACAGATTAAATTTTACGCTTCTTTATAAAATACGACAAAAAACACATTGCTCTCTGATTGGTTGATGTTGCTCTCTGATTGGTCAATGATAGTACCATTTATCTCTCGTTTAGAATCTTACGAAATTTTATAATTACTGTAGAAAATTTATAAAACGGTTTTTTTGTTATTTTCCACCGACATATATGTATAATATTATAACGTAGGTACGTTATAATATTGACATAGGTATGTCAGTATGTAGGTCCTCATAATAAAGAAAGTCGAACGAAGACTTGCAAATATTTACACCATATTGTTGTGATGAATACTAATGAAAATTGAGCGTAATGGTTTCCCTCAAACATGGCAACTACGCGCGAGGTTATCCGTACGTGAGGAGATATCTTTTGAACCATATTATTGATTCATGATGTAGTAAGATTTCATATAATAATGAAATAGAAGTAGTCTACCTTATTAATCTAGGTGATTAGTTGTGTATACTTTATAGTAAATATCAAATAAGTTTTCAAACAAAAATACTGTTAATAAACTGAAGTTTATTACGTAACACGCCTTTTTCCTCGAAGGGGTAGGCAGAGGTGCACATTACGGCACTGAATGCCAGTGTACAAAGTAACAACCACTTTTTCAATATTAATGTTATGAGTCCCATGATAGGGGGTGAGCCTATTGCCATATACCTACCAGGCATCAATCATGCGTCCAGTCGGACAACGAGGCAGAAAATTTTGTTACTTGTACATAAGCAAAATTTCTTTCTTTTTTTCGGATAAAGGTTTACTCTAGATTAACTTACAATGTTATATTCCTTCTAAAGAAATTGAAGATTACATTTATTACCCAACAATGTTTAAAAAACTATCGCAATCTTGATACGTAAGTACGGTGAAAAGCTAAGTACAAAAGTTGTCCCATTTCTTTTAAAACTCAGGCGCGAATCTATTTTCTGCATATCACACGACTGTGTCACGAAAAAGACTGACCAATTAGCAAAGGCGCCTGTACAGCGATGCTATCAGAGTTCAAAGAGTCATTTTGTAAATAAACCTGATTACCATCAACGTTCACAGTTTCTCTCAAAAGGAAAAATTAAATGTGAAAAGCGAGTACAAAATGTCCCTACGAAAATTGACTCGGAAAATTAACAAAATCTTGGTTATAAAGGCACATGGGAATATAAAATAAAATGGCGTCCTATATTCACTGTTTAGCATGTTATTGCTGATGATATGTATTATGCATGATATACTTATATTATATGTACTTATATTACTCCAATTCGTATCAAGTTTGAATGAATTTGATCAATTCAAATGTGATTGCCAGTTTACGGAGAACGAGTCTTATTAAAATTTTTGTTGGTATAAATACTTTTTTCTTCTTATACATCGCGGAATATATTTATACTGATAATTTTAAAGGTTATTTGATGAATTATTAGCTTTGTTTACTTTGTTCGAAATATGGTAATGTAGCAAAACCTATATGGAATCGTGCTGTGTAAAAACTGTATACTGAAAACGTCATGGTACAATAAACACATAACTACAAATTAAAATACGATAATACTTGTGATTTGGAAATAGAGTTCATTAGAGAATGTTACTCGAGCATGGCGTTAAATGCACGCAGTATGGTTACCATTGAACGTGTAGGCACGTAGCAACGCAGTCAAGAAATCATTCGTTCAAAGCAAAATAGACCCAGTACTCAAACCCTAACACAATATTGTGCCATGGCAAATGACACCTTATGACTTATAACAATACTAATGCTATTCGCTATTATTATATTTATTACTTACGCCAATTTTACATGAAAACATAACTTGAAATAATATTTCAGTACCATCTATTTTAGAAAGCTAAACTCGTTAAAATTTTTTTAGCACTTCAAGTTAGTAAAATTGTCGCAAACAAATGCTACTGCAGCGGTGGTGTCGTTTGGAAAGGCGGTTTATTATTTGCTATATATAATTACTATTACGATTATATTTACAGTTCTTATCAGCTTTTATTGCTTTAAAGCCAAATAAAAATGTACAAAACCTTAAAACCAAGTACAGACAGCATCATCATCATCATCATCATCATCACGCCTTTTATCCCCGAAGGGTAGGCAGAGGTGCACATTATGCCACTGTACAATGTAACACCCACTTTTCACTATTTGTTATGAGTCCCATGTAATAGGGGGTGAGCCTATTGCCATATACCGGGCACAATTCCAGACTCCGTGCTGCTACTGAGGATTTTTAAAAACCCAGTAATACTTTGCCCGACCCGGGAATCGAACCCGAGACCCCTTGCCCGGCAGTCGCACTTGCGACCACGGCCAACGAGCAGTCTACAACATAAAATTAAAATAAGCTGACCATCTTACCTTTGCTAACGCAACTGCAGGGAATGTCCCAGCTAATCTGTATCCTCGCCTGACTGCCCTCTTCTCTGCCCTCTTAGGATCCTGGCTGCAGTGGCAGTTGTCAGGCTCATACCGTCTCCCACTACCAGGATCACGTTTCTGTGTAAAATAAGTTAATAGATTGAGTTTATATCGAAACTTTGGTAAAAGAAGCAAACTAAGAAATGGAATTTGCCAAACAGGGTTTCCTAAGACGATCCTCGAAAAACACCAGGTGCTAAGAGCTCTTATATCAATATATATATATGTCAATATATGGGAGTCCACTATTGTTCAATAGTGGACATACTTTTATGACAATATTATTATTAGTTTGTTAAAAAGTTGTAGTTTCTAGATTTTGTGTATTCTTGCAGAACAACAATAATTTCTAAGGTTAGACACGTCTAATTAAGAGCTCTCACTTTCTCAGTAATGCGGTTAGGCAATCGGCTACTAAGCATAATGCCATCCGAATTTGTTCGAGTAAAATAATCGAGAATCGAGTACGCAGTTAAGACACAAGAGAAATGAAAGAGTTGCAAAGTTTATGTCAGAAATTAAGCATTAAATTATTGAATTAATTCAGGAATCAATGCTTATCTGTTAGTATTTAAGTTTAGTTTAAACTGTCAAACACCGAGCGGTCACCGGTGACCGCAACCTATTATTCTTTAATTGTGTCTTTAACGAGGTACTCAACGAGTTAATTATAATCAAATGAACTCCTTTGACTCTAGTATACTCCTTTGTAATAATTATTATGCCACAGAAAATAAAAAAGTAGTGAAAAAAAGCTATGAATAATTTAATAAAAATAAAAATTGTGTAAGCGATCTATTAAAATAATTTACATTCATGACGATTTCCAACAATTGGCTTAAACAAATAAAGGATTAAAATTTTCACATTTCTATAATTAATACGTCGATTTATCTTGTTAGGATACAATAGGATACAAGTTATATATATGTGGTACATGTTAAGTTAGGAAATAATATTTTTTTACTAGCGACCCGCCCCGGCTTCGCACGGGTGCAATAACAAGTACAAGTTCATACATGCAAGGAATTCCACTTCTTAGCGGTTCGCACAAGGAAATTCGTGTAGGTTTTTGTTCCCCACCTAACAAAGAAGGTGAATCCTATCTAAACTTTGTGAATTGACTCATGACTGAGAACTTTTTAATTAAAAACTTTTAATTAGTACGTACTTATGTTTTGAGCAAAAAATATTAATGTAAACATTAAAAAAAGTTTCGTCAAGTCTTGATAATATACTAGCTTAACCAGTGGCTTTTCTCACGGTATCGGGACTAAAATGGATCATATGTACTAAATGTAATCTACCTAATCTATATATATAAACATGAAACCCTAAAAGTAAAAAAACCTAAAGATCCTTTTTTTTATTACGAGAACGGGAGAAAACGTGATTGCGCGTACGAATTCACGGGCAGAAACTAGTCTTAATATAAATGTATCTAGCTTTAAATGACTAACCAAAATCCAACCAAACTTCCACGTTTGCAATATAGTGTAGATCTTCTATGTTTACAAATTGATTACGTTCCTATGAAACCTTAAACATGCATTTACCCACAACCTCGCTTGTCAATATTGATTATGTCAATTAGACAACTCGTACTCCTCCGTGACATTAAATTAATGTAAAATTGAACTTTAAATCCTTGGAGATTGGAAACATAATTATCTGTATGTAAGTACTTAAATTAACCATGATTGGTTTAGCGGTTACGCGTGTAAGTGTAAACAAACAAACATACATGTAAACAAAGAAAGTCAGTTTGCTTTTAGTTACGATACACGTGCGATACTAACTGCCTTTAATTTAAACATGGTACATGAACAGGGCACTAGAAAAGTATAGAATACATTAATTTGTCATCACTCTTAAACATCAGTAGCGTAATGGCTGACTAAAGGACTGGACCATTTGTCAGAAACCGGCCATTAGCGCTCACGGATGCACCTGAACCTATTTGTATTGTATATGGGTATTCGTATCTTCTACAATATCGTCACCTTTAATAACATAACATAACATCACGACTTTTATCCCCGAAGGGGTAGGCAGAGGTGCACATTATACCACTGTACAATGTAACACCCACTTTTCACTATTTATAAGTCCCATGTAATAGGGGGTGAGCCTATTGCCATATACTGGGCACAATTCCAGACTCCGTGCTACTACTGAGAATATTTAAAAACCCAGTAATACTTTGCCGGGAATCGAACCCGAAACCCCTTGCCCGGCAATCGCACTTACGACCACTCGGCCAAAGAGGCAGTTAGTATTTAGATAATTTTATATAAAACATTTCCGTAATACATGATTTCTATGTAGCTTTAACTATTAAGCCTGTTCACGCGACGGAAGTTTAAAAATGGAGTAACTTTCCTTCACTGTCCTGCTTCTATTGATTGTAAAGAAAAAGAAAGAAGAAAAGTATACTATAACCTCCCCAGGAGTATGAAAAATAATTGTACCAAGTTTCGTTAAAATCGGTCGAGTAGTTTTTATTTCTATAAGGAACATACAGACAGACAGACAAAAATTTTACTGATTGCATTTTTGGCATTAGTATCGATCAGTACCCCCTGATAGTTATTTTGGAAATATATTTTATGAACAAAATTAACCTCTCTACAGATATATTATAAGTATAGATAGATGCCGATGTTAGAACAAAACTCAATCATTTTCTGTATCAAATAGTAAACAGACATAAACACACACATGCGTACTCATCAGAGTTAATACTCTCCCTAATATATAGGTCATTGTGAAGATACAGAATTACTTGCCCTCAAGTCGAGTGGCAGGTATGTAAACAAAATAATTAATTACAGACCGATCCATCGTATTCGGTAGAAAAATTGGGAGGAAAAGTGGATCGACGAGATTTTCTTGTCATCACGAGGACTATTTACGAACATGTTTTGACAGCATCATAGCAGTTTGAGTGATAGAGCTGTTATGACAAGATCGTATCCTACAGCATTGCTCGATTGGGCAGAGTATTGGAAAAGGTTACATAGGTACTTTTTACCCGTTGGTCGAGTCCCAACACGTGCAATACAGGTATAGAAAACCAATTACTTTCCTAAGAATTTTTGTTAGAAAAACCACCATGTTCCTCTATTTACACAAGTTAATAATTTATAATAAACGGTGATTATTATAGAACTTCCTCATTAATTTCAGGTTTTTTTTGCCCAGCTGCCTTTGAAGGCAGGTAGGAGGGTTATGTTTTCTTTAATTTTGTTAAAAATAATAACATTTTCGAAACAAGCGCCAAAGAAGGAAAATATTAAAAGAAATTCAATATATCAAGAATTCTTCACATTGTTATGAGAAAAGATTTTTAACACTTGATTTCATAAAAGGTATACGATAAAAGGGAACTAGACTAGAAATCATCAGTCCTCAGGTCCTTGGCCTAGATATTATAAATAGGTTAGCCTACATATGTTTGAAATAGTCTATTTACATACATAACATCACGCCTTTTATCTCCGAAGGGGTAGGCAGAGGTGCACATTATACCACTATACGCAATGTAACACCCACTTTTCACTATTTATGTTATGAGTCCCATGTAATAGGGGGTGAGCCTATTGCCATATACCGGGCACATTTCCAGACTCCGTGCTACTACTGAGATTTTTAAAAACCCAGTAAAACTTTGCCCGACCCGGGAATTGAACCCGAGACCTCTTGACCAGCTGTCGCACTTGCGCCCACTCGGCCAACGAGGCAGTCTATTTAATAGTACCTAGGTAGATTTTATTGAAGAGCAAAGAATGATTTGTTTCAAATTTTTCTTCCATAAATTTGTGACAGATAACCAAGGTGTATTAATTGACTAAATAACCATGATGTCAAGATAACTTGTATAAGAAGTTGAACAATGTTTTTTGAAGAGTATACATTTCTGTAGTAATCTATATATATAAAAGAAAGTCGTGTTAGTTACACCACTTATAACTCAAGAATTGCAGAATTGGTAGGGAGGTAGCTTAGAGCCAGGAGACCGACATAGGGTACTTTTAACCATTTTTTTTTACTTTTTACCAAAGATCACGAACGGGGACGGGAAAAAATGGGATCACGCGTAAGTGGCGGGCAGAAGTCGCGGCCGCGAAGTCGTGGGCAGAAGCTAGTAAACTATAAAAAATAAACTATATTTTTACCATATTTAGGTCTGTCTTTCAATGGCATAAAGACAATCAACCATTCATTTTGGTCACCGATTAATTATACCTATACCTACGTATAGGTATAATGTAATACATATACACATAGAATCTGCATAGGTCTTTTTTTTAAGGTGGGAAAATCATCGAATGACTGCTCCCGCCTGGGTGAGGCGGAGGGGAGTGTCAGATTCTTACTGACTAAAAACCACCCCGTTCCTTCTCCTGCACGTCGAGCCGGAGCCCCGGTTACCTGTTAGGTTCTCCGCGACATCTGCATAGGTCTAATATCTAGTTCAAATTATATTATGAAGCCCGCAGATATAATAATAGACTGTTTGTGCTACGCAATCCAAACTCAGTTCTAGCGCTGAAAATTTGCTGGAACCAGGGATTGAACTTCTAATTTCAAGCCACTAAAACCATCTAAGTTATGGAAACCGGTTCAGAAGTTTACTTGTTTAGAACATAGATCAACACATGGATGGCAACGGACAAACATATTCAGATCAAACACATAAACCCATATAAATACGGCTTAAAATTAAAAAATAGAAACTGAAGATTAAAGTACTTTCATAATTATTTTTTTGAAATGATGCAACATTTCTTTTTATTCAATCAATATTGGATATTGTATAATTCTTGGACAATACAGGGAACGTCAAATAAACATATAAAAGCATTAAGTCCGCTTTGTGCAATGTTGGAATGTTCAAATAAAAATATGTCCTATGCATATGTAAATAAATGAAAAAATTAATCAAACTAATTTGGATTTCACATCTTTCTTTCGCCGTACAATTAGTTCTACCATTTTTATCTTTGAGTATGATGTTTGACATAAATAAAACAAGTGCAAAACTTGGTCTGTTGCTGCGCGTTTGCGGAAATGAAGCCAAACGAAAGTAAAGATGAAAAACAGAAAATCTGAGTACCAAAGTAATTTGGTATTTCTTAGACAAGGATTAGTTTTAATAAGAATTATCAAACACCGATAAAACAAGAGCAGCTGAAGTCAATTATTGTATGCATTTTTGTCTAACAGTAAAAATTAGTTATTTGAAAATGATACTATATAACAAGTGTATGACATGGGATTCTTATGCCTAACTATCAACAAAACAATATATAGAAACGCCTGTCTTTGAACAAGCTCATTCAACCTGGTCAAACATAAAAAATAAATACAAATAAAATGATTCTGCGACTATGGTACACGCGTGTCACCATCCATTAAAACGAGTTAAAAAGTTGCCCTTTTGAAATTATAAGACCAATGTGGCCTACATACGAACTTGACCGAGTTCGTAAGTATTGCTTTTGTGAAAATCTCGGTCGTGTTACACAACCACTGTATGGACATACGAAACGCCTGCACATTGGAACTTGTACATTGTACTCCCTTCAACATATTTCGAATATGGCTTCAAGGTACTATATTAGTACATCGCATAACAATGACACTTTTACTCGAAATTTTATACAGGGGAGTACCTAGAATTGAAATCTAACATCTACTCGCTTCGCCAGTTTGTTATTAGTTGCATGGAATAGAACACACGACATCACGCCTTTTATCCCCGAAGGGGTAGGCAGAGGTGCACACAGAACACCCATTTTCACTATTTATGTTATGAGTCCCATGTAATAGGGGATGAGCCTATTGCCATATACCAGGCACATTTCCAGACTCCGTGGTACTACTGAGATTTTTTTTTAAAAACTCAGTAATACGTTTCCCGATCGGGAATCGAACTCGAGACCCCTTGCCGGCAGTCGCACTTGCGACCACACGGCCATCGAGCATGGAATAGAAATTTAATATTATCATATACCAGGCATAATCCCAATCTCCATTTTGCTGAGAATTTTTGAAAAATCTAAAAATTCGAACGTTTAATTTACCAGAAATCGAACCCGATACCTCGGTTGTATAGCCTACTTGCTTCCTCATCAAAGAATTCCATGTCAATAATATAAATATTTTTATGGGTAATAAATTCAAGGACTCTCGATATCAAAGACTGTAGACACGAATCGAGTTGTAAGTACGTTATTATTTATTCAAATTTGTTTGAGATCTCTTAAGGTATCCTCTTGAAGGTACTGAGATAAATGGAACTGTGAAGAGTAACTCATTTCGTTAATTTGTCTTTGAATTTAATTACTTATTTCTGTTTCTAAGACAAAATATATTTTATTCTAGAATCTGTTACATAAGTTCTATTATTGTTTGTTCTAGTTTTCAATTGTATTTACTTATATTTATGTGTTTACTCACTTAGCAACAGGATTTTTATCAGCAGCGTACTGCAGTCGTTTCTGCAACGTTTCCTGCGCCTGTGTGTACCAATAGTGGCGGTCTGTAAAATAAAACAGTGAATAAACAACTTAATTAATTAGTTCGCAAACACACAGGAAAGATGTTAATAAAGTCGGGTGAAGTTTTTGTACGGTTAGTCATTTTCAAGTTGGAGAGTTTTATTGAGTATTTACTTTTTCAAACTAAAGTTCACTTTAAATCACTAAATGTATATAGGGTGTATAAACAGCTCCCGAAACGCTGACTAAAAGAAGTTGTTTTTATAATTGGAAGCGTGGGAGAGCCATTCTTCGGCACGAATGGGCCGGCTCGACCGGAGTGATACCACGGCCTCACAGAAAACCGACGTGAAGCAACGCTTGCGTCGTGTTTCGTCGTGTTAGTGAGGTTACCGGAGGCCCAATTACCTTCCCCAATCTCCCCAATTCCTGAATCCCCAACGATCCTCAAACTCATAATCCCCAAAAGGCCGGTAACGCACTTGTAACGCCTCTGATATTTCAGGTGTCAGGGCGACGCCGATTGCTTACCATCAGGTGATACGTCTGCTTGTTTACCGGCTTATGCCATAAAAAAAATGTTTTTTTTTTTCATGTTATTCACGCAACATTAGCCTTGAGCAGTTGATTAGAACATCAACATTCTTTATGTAATAGTTTATTACATAAAGAAATATTTATTTCCTTACTTTAGTGAAAATAAAACTTGGTTTTACCATCACCTGTTTTCCGGGAGCGTGCCGTTTACACCCTGTTTAATTACAGCAAATGATCCACTAGAAAAACTTCATTTAACCTATCCTTGCAGTTGGTAAAGATATACATATAGTTGTATCCTATGAATCGACACAAAAAATCTACCATGGAATAGTGAGGGGAAACGTTTGCAGATAGCAAGAAACGATCCATTTCAAGTACATTATTATCCCATTACTGTAGTTGCCAAACTTGGCAGGATAGATGTTTTGGTGGTCGGTGCGTTGTACACAACAAGACAGGAGCATGAACTAATTACCTACTTCATTATCAAACAGAACCAACGCTTTGGGTATCAAACATTGATCGTTCTAATCGTAGACTGTCGTCTATATCTAAGCTTAAATTTTCAGAATGCACTCATTCGATTAATGAATAAATCTTTGCTTTTGAAGCAATTTCAATTTTTTTTGTTTAGAACTACCTCCATATGTACCTCATGGCAGTTTATAAGAAACAATACATATACGCGGCCAATGATGACCGAGTAGTCGCAAGCACGACTGTCGGGCAAGGGGTCTCGAGTTCGATTCCCAGGTCGGGCAAAGTATTAATGAGTTTTCTAAAAAAAATCTCAGTAGTAGTAGCCCGAGTCTGGAAATGTGCCCGGTATATTATATATACATAGGACTCATAACACAAATAGTGAAAAGTGAGTATTACATTGTACAGTTGCATTAAGTGCCGTAATGTGCACCTCTGCTTACCCCTTCGGCGTATGAACCATGTGAACAGCGAAACGCGCTTAAGTATTCTTCTGTCACCTCAAAGTCTTTGTAAAATGACAGAGATAGCACTATATGTAAGTACAGCTTAAAATTGGGTAACCTTTCAGTATTTGGGCTAAAGTTAGATATCAATATCATCCAAACATCTCCAGGGCAAAGATGTGGGCAGAATCATAACATAACATTAGGTAATAAATACACACAGCACACATTTACATAAAGGTTCAATCTACAATGGTGCTGTTTGTTCCAAAATAACAAAGACAAATTTCATACAATTGCAAAACATACTGTACTAAGTATAATATGTATGTATTACATAAGTTGTGGTGTGGGTAACGAAGTTATAACTTATATGGTTTCTTCCTAAGTAGTCTTGTTAGAAATGTGTGCGTAACAAGATTATTAGCCTCACAACTTGCGGACTTTAAGTCTTTAATAATATTATCCTGTATTACATAGTTACCTAATGTTTTTATTTACTGGCTCACTGGGTAAATCTGTTCTTTATCATGTTTCTCCGATTACGAGGTTTTGAGAATGATATAAGAATAGAAACAAACATGATGTTTACTTTTACAAAGTTGACTTTTATGAGAACAAAAGTTTAATAATAATAAAATAATTCTTTACTACGTTTTAAAAACCGAATTCAACCCCCTCTTTTTTGAAGTTAGTTAATTAACATACCTACTAAAACCTTCTCCTAAGTATAACAAACACTCTTTTGAAAACCGCATCAGAATCGGTTATTCTAAATGCGAGATGATTGCGCACAAACATATATACATACGTACAGGTCAAACAGAGACCCTACTTCTTTTTTTGAAGCCGAATCAAAATAAATTTCAAGTATTTTTTTAATCAATTCCCAATAGAGTTAGTTCGTAAGGACCTATTGAAGGGTAATCTAACCAAACTTTAGCAAGCTTAGCTCAGAAAATCTTCATCTAAAATGAATTACGACTGTAATTAGAGAGTTCGCTCCGTTGAAAACACAGTGGGTCTTTCACTTAATATTTTTGCGTCAATTATAATCAAATACCTATTTACTTGGTGAACTGACCTCATTTTTACGAGCAAAATAATAAATGAGCGTATTTAATCACAACCAAAACAACTGGAAGTCGTTACTGGAGCGTCGATGTCATTATTTAAATTCCTTTAGTATTTTTATATTGCTTGGTACTCAACCTAACTAGGCATTTTATTATATGGATCATAAATAGAGTTGTGTTAGTTTAATGATCCTTTGATGTGTTTGTTCTTTGTTTACTTGTTTGTTTTGGGTCGATTCAGCAAACAATTTTGGTAAACATGTTGATTTCTATCAAAATATACAATAACCTTCATTCATGAATTTAGATTTTCGTTAGAAGCTAGACGGCAGAATACTATGATTTGAAACCGATCGTTTTATTAGTCATATATTGTAATAAGGAGTCTGTTATGCATTTATTGCTAATACCAACACTGTGCTCCTAGTTATATTTGTAATTCCAGTAAAGGTTTACATTAATAACGCTTTGCCTAAAGCAACAACTGTACGGATATACCTGATATCCCATGACAGTAAGGCTCATGTGTTTCATCTCAAGACTTAACAAAACTGACAGCATGTTTGATGCGCAACCTACAAGATATAGGTAAGTATGCTGATACCTAACAGACGCAGGTAAACTAAACTGGACTAGACACAGATCAGAAACAAAAAAGTATTTGTAAATTAAGGCTTGGTAAATTTTCCAACGATTGTGCGTGCGTGGCTCACGTGAAAATACTGATAGTGTCTCATAGATGTCTCACGATAGTTATTATATAATACAGGTATAGATATTCTGAGAGTTTCTTCCCAGAAATTAACGTGTGGGAGAGCCATGCTTCGGCAAGAATGGGCCGGCTCGACCGGAGTGATACCACGGCCTCACAGAAAACCTACGTGAAACAACGCTTGACTTGTGTTTCATCGTGTGAGTGAGGTTACTGGAGGCCAATTACCCCCCTCCCTAGTCTCCCGAATCCCCGAATCCTCCACAATCTTCAAATTCCCAATTCCCAAAAGGCCGGTAACGCACTTGTAACGCATTAGTGTTTCTGGTGTCCATGGGTGGCACCGATTGCTCGTTTACCGGCTTATGCTATAAAAATACGTTCGAAAAATAATATTTACCAAAAGCTTCCTTGGCCTCAGTCTTCTGTGGAGCCGGCGTGAGGACTGTCGTACTGATAGTGGACATCATAATCGTGATGCAGCACCAAGTACTCATGGTTCACAAGCCTCATCGGTGCTGCAGTCTTGTCGGGCATACAGAAGAAACTTTGATATCACGCTATGTACTGCTACACTCGGCTTTTGGCATAACCACCCCAACACCGCGTGTTATCTGCAAAGAAGAAACAAGTTTTGGTTAGTTATAGTTTAAAGTATTTAGTCGCTATTCTGTAACGATTATAAACAGTAATTAAATCGGTAGAAACTACTAGAAGTCCCCTCTTATACTCTTGCAGTGATTCGTAGTTTTGGCTTGTGCTGTGTCTGTTTTTAATCCATTAACAGATAGATTCGTTTTAAAATGAGAATTGTGTTATATAAGACACTTTTTCCACTTACTTAATCACTACTTGAAAGCTATCCCACTAATAAAACAGAACCTTATATACCAACGGTTAAGGTATAAATAGGTTCTTCTTTATAAAATAAAAGCATTTTACCTATGAATATGTAGGTCGTGTCGTGTCTTATTGTCTACAAAAAATATTTATCAATATCGTATTTCCTTCTAGTGGTATATATCTGCTTGTAATCAGATTTATTACTGTTTTATTAATGTTCGTTTGACACGAGAAAATATAGCAAATTGCGCGGAAAAATGGATCCCAAAACTATTTGCCTTTATTTATAAGTAGCGATTCGCCTTCGACTTTGTTCTAGAAAATTATTGCCGTTTGTCTTGAAAATTTTTGCAAGTAGTGGGTTATTTTATTAGTGATTCTAAGCCCTTCGTTTTAATAATTAATTAATGTTAACCAAAGCTTGAGTGATAAAATGTAAACAAAAACTATTACTCAAGTAACGACATACTCATACTTTCAGAAATAACTATCATTCATCTTCATCATTTATCAATTCTTTGATCAATAAGCGAGTGATTGATTTATTCATTTGTCAAGCCTGACAGGCCATATTCAAGTATAAATAATTAATTTACTATCATATTAATAATTTGGCTTATGAATCTCGGTGTTATCATTGATTTGACGAGGTAATTATAGTGTAGATAGTATTCCAATGACGTATACATAGGGGGTTAATTAATCATTTCTGTTGACTGTGTTGTCGAATTATGATTATATTATACGTATATAATGATATCATTATATGTATATATTGGTGGTTGGTATACTAAGTCTAAATAAGGAAGTAAATAATAAATAAAAAATTTCTTAATGGACCTTAATCTTATTATTATTTCTCTTATTAACGTTGGTACTTAATCAGGCTGCCTGTTCGTCTTTTCACATTTGATTTTACATGTGTTGAGCTACATACCAAATTTCTCGTTAAAATCAAAAATAGTTTTACAAATCAACTATCTTACATATAACCAAACAAATGTGTTATTAAGTTTCATTAAATTATTAAACAGTTAAAAATTTTATGCAGTAGATAACATTCTCCAATTCAAAATGTGACTCCGTTTGTGAGCAGTCAAAATTTGAATTTCACATTTAATTTTACTTCCAAAAGTTTTCATATGCAGCGAATATTTTTGAGTTTATTGCGTGGAACTTTGCATTCGATGTAAAATCCTGTATTAATTTTTATTTTATTTCTAGTTTTATAATAACTGACAACCAGAATTATAATTTACTTTACTTTATATCTTTTACTGCCTGCCTCGTTGGCTGAGTAGTCGCAGGTGTGAATGCCGGACACGGGTTTTTGGGATTGATTCCCGGGTCGGGCAAAGTATTACTGGGTTTTTAAAAAATCTCAGTGGTATCACGGAGTCTGGCATTGTGCCTGGTATAGCAATCACCCCCTATTACATGGGACTCATAACATAAATAGTGATGAAAAGTGGGTGTTACATTGTACCTACAGTGCCATTAAGTGCCATAATGTGCACCTCTGCCTATCCCTTCGGGGATAAAAAGCGTGATGTTGTGTTATGTTTATACCATTCATAAGCTATTTTTTTTTCATATTATTACTGAAATAAATAACTGACTCTTTGCAACAACAAACCGTCTTCACCTCATTAAATTGAATCTTGAGAACCTAGATATATAAATGAAACAAATAATTAGGTTAAGCTTATTTCACTATTTTCTTCCAAGTACAGCCGCAAAGCTTTCTCATTTCCTTTGCACATCTGAGGAAATGAGCCAAATTAATATTTTGGTGGTCCCTTTGAAAATAAATCTCCGAGCACACACAGTGATTAAAGAACAAGAGAGAATCTCATTTATCTCTAAGGAACTGGGAATACGTAGATAAGGGAAAGTTCCTCGAGGTTCTCAGCGACCGACAGCCGTGAACTTCCCAACTCCATTCTTCTGATTGCGGTCAGCAGAACGGCGAACTTTAAAATTGTTTTGTGACCGAACAGAAGGTCCGATCAATAAGACTTATATTAACAAACGATTTATTTAAAACCCTTCTGGCTCGGTTTAATCAGTGAGTTTACAAGTTCTTATCGCAGAAGGGAAGAAAGAAAATGTTAATAAGCTTGTTTAATTATTTTGTTAGAGATTTCTTCGAGCGACGATAATTGAATGATTAAAGAAGACAAGTTTCTGTTACGAATTATGTTTTCACACTGAAGTAAAACCGTTCTAAAATTATATTAGATAATTTAATTTAAATTGTCTATACTTATACATCAAATTTAATGTGAAGGTTGGAAAACCCGAATTTTTGAAATTGACAGTTGAATTAAAATAACCTATTTGTATTTGATCTCTCAATTTTATTTGACGTAACGCCAAGAATCTTTTGAATTAGCTTTTACCAGCGGCTTTGTCATGTTTTAGCCCATGGGAGCATTTTATCGGGATAAAAAGTATCCTATCACCTAAGTCAGTCCACAATTCCAAACAAAATTAATTCATTAGTTCCAGCGCGATTGACGAACTTTTACTTACTTGAACTAATATTCAAATAAATAAACTTTCATATTTATAGTATTAGTATGATAACAACGCAAGTAGCTTCAGTAGCCGATACGGAGTCGCGGAGAACCAAACGGGTTACCGGGGCTCCGGCTCGTAGTGCAGGAGTAGGATCGGGGTGGTTTTTTAGTCAGTAAGAGTCTGACACTCCCTCCCGCCTCACCCAGGCGGGAGCAGTCATTCGATGATTTTCCCCCCTTAAAATAAATAGATTCAGTAAAAACAAATTATTACCTAAAATTATTCTACTGCATGCTTTTATCATTTTCATAGGCTGTAGATATGTACTTCATAATCTACGTACCAGCATCACAACTAGATTAAACATATTAATAGAATGCTCTAAACTCCTCTTAAATGCTACTCGAACATATCAAAATATATAAGTACGTTCACATATCAGAGGGCCAAGCACGAATAACTATCGCATTCGTATCGTAACAGTATCGAGCGAGTTGCGTTCTGATTGGTTGGTTAACTTGAACCGGCCAATCAGAGCGCCGAACGCGCTCGATACTATTACGTTACGAATGCGATAGTTATTCGTGCTTGGCACTCTGGATCCATTTGTTATCTACCTGGAAAACAACGGAAGCGACACGTCACAGGTAGCGCACACAAACGATTCGGTGATAGTCCACGCTCTTGTTTAGAAAGATTTGGAATATTGATAAGTGTGTGTCGCTTGCTGAACGTGCTCGTGTGTTTACGTTGGAAACTCACATAGGAATTTCGAATTAATGTATAAATTACTAGCTTTTACCCGCGGCTTCGCTCGTGTCACAAAAGGATAAAAGTAGCCTATGTGACATATACCAATACCCACAGCGCCATCTATTATACCAACACTTTTGTTTTCAATCGGGAATATCAAATTTTTCCGGGACAAAAAGTACCCTATTATTTAATCCGGACTTCTAACTTTACGTCTGCAATAATTCAAAGCAATCAGTTTAGTAGTTACGGCGTGAAAGCGAAACAAACAAACAAACTCACTTTCCGATTTATAATATTATTAAGGATTGTACGAAAATTTAATGCTGTATAGAAATTAAAAACCCAATTTTCTGACGTAATTTCATCATCATCATCATCATAATATTAGCCTAAAGACGTCCGTTGCTGAACATAGGTCTCCCTTAATGACTTACAAATAGGCCGGTTGAAATAACACAATCGCTGTAAGATAAAGGCAATAGTTCAATTTATCTTCTTTTAATAATTACTTAAAACAAGAGGACGTTAGCTTTAGAACTGCTTCTAACCTGATCAGAGATTCACAATGGTTATTCTCCCATCCACAATTTGCATTGAAGACCTTAAATTTTGAGTAAAACAATGGCATAGATACAATCGGTTCACAGAGGCATTCCATTGTCAAAGTTCGAACGCCAATTTGAAGTTAGAACACGTTCTGTAACGGTCAATAATCTGATTTGACCAGTACGAAATTTCCATTTAGTTTATCATTGTGTGGCTAATGACATTTATTTTCGAACAATCGAATTATTTTATTTTCTTCATGTCATAAAGTAAGAATGATGTTCGTACCTTTTTATGCCTCTTATTAGTTGAAATGCAAAATGCACCCTCTTACTTAAATGATTCCTCATGTGTTACGTCTTACTTATATGGTATCTGGCTTCGAACTTCATTAGAAAGTTTGAAATGAATCCCTCAATAACATTTTACTTGAGAAGGACGAAACCACAGCGTCGTGTTTAAGAGCAACTACACAACTTGCGTTTAAGAACAAAAGAAATAATAAATCCCCAGTACAACAAAAGATTGGAGTTCATTATAGTTTGTTCCATAAAGTTAGTAAAAAGTTTGGTCTATAACTTCTTTGTGAAGGATGTCGCCTACAGTGCGGTCGCAAGGAATTCAAGGTAAGTGTGGAGTTCCCATGAAAGTTTATTGCAAAGCCACATACTTTAGTGGTTGTGAACTTCATGATAAATAAGAAGTAAATATTATGAATTCTTGTGTGATAAGTACCTACTTGACTTGTGACTTAATTATTTAGAAATAAAGTCAAGGCTAAACCAAGGGACAAATGTGCCAAGCCCTGTATAGGCGTTGTATAGACATG